TTAAGTCGGGGGAGGGAAGAGGGACTTTTCCGCTCCAAAGGCTGGCGAGCGCCATCGTGACGAGGTCATTGAACACAAATGGCGCCTTCAGGATGAAGAAGTGGCCGATGAACGCAAGTGATTCAGGATACTCCTCTGACAGAAACCCTCGATACAAGCGAGCGAATTGGACATGAGGGTCCTTGAATCGAGTTGCGTTGATGCGCTCAAAATGATCGGGAGCTTTTGCAGGGTCGGTAGGGTCACCTGGGCCTTTGATGACCGAGAAATCGTACTCATACCCCGTGCAGATGATGATGGCATCAATATTGTCTAGAACTGTACCATCTGTGAAAGTGACCGACTTGGGCCCAGTAACTCCCTTCACCCCAGGAACAGTACGAGTGATACCATCCCTCAAGTTCTCAGCGAGGTCATTTGATAGAACCGGAATCCGATGCTCTGCGCTTGCGAGAACCCGGGGAGCCACAAACGACGGATGTTTGCTGAGCCAGGGATATGCTTTCCTTCGGGCGCTATCCAAAGCGTTTGTGAAGAACATGGCGCAAGCTCTAGGCCACCAATCACCTAGACTTCGGAAGATTGTGAGGGCACGGCGCGTCATGCTGTGGTCAAAAGCGTTACCCCGGACCATTTTTGGGACCTGTGATCGCATTCAGAACCATACCCTCACAAGCTAGAATTACATCCGAGAGTCCGGCAACTTACCAGATAGAACTGCTGACGATGACTGATTGTGATCGAGCGAGCGTTTGCCTTCTTGAGAAACGACTGCGTGTCAGCACTTGTAGCCCCAATCCCGATAAGCAAAACATTTTTGCCCGAGTATCTGTATGGGTCCTTGAATTCAATCGAGTGCTTGGCCTCCCCCTCGAACTTTTCAATGCCTTTGATATCTGGCATCATTGGAGTGTTGACGATTCCAGTGGCCAGCACAACTCGATCGAACACATGCTTCTGAAGGCCAGTCTCCATGCCTGGGAGTGTGTTATGCGTATGTATAACCCATTTCCCGTTGACATCATCTCGTTCTACTTTGCTGACTTTGGTAGAGAACTTGATATGAGGCAGAAGATCAAATTCCTTTGCGTAAGCTTCGAGGTATCGTTCAATACTTTTCGCAGTAGGGTGTGTTGCATCATCTAAGGCCACATGGCAACGTTAGAAACGATCATACCCATGCGGTGTAGGTGAAGTAGTTTACCATCCGCGAAGGGGAAGTCTGTGATGTGCGCCTAATATTTGCATGAGTATCTGACGTCACTAATGCAGAAAAGTCAAGCCTTGCTCACCATCTGTTTTGAGGTGTTGAAAGATGTCATTGGAAGTGCGGTGACTTGATCTGGTCTGGGTGAGAAGTGCCATAGCCCACCGAGGTGATCATTTTGCTCAAACGCGGTTACTTCTAGGTCTTGCTCCTTGAGGTTCTTTATTGCGAGAAGTCCCAATGCCCCTGTGCCGACAACGCCGACGTGGCCACCCACGGGCTTCGAGTCGTCGTTCGCCATGTGGAGGAGAGAAAGGTCTTTCGTGATGCTGAGGAGGAAAAGCGGAAATGTCTCCAATTGTGTTCCCCAAATGCTTCCAATTTACAGAGTGCAGGTAGGAAGGGCACATCCTCTTATTAGGTTAAAATATCGCCTACCTTTGCAAGCTATTAGAGATACTTAATGCCACGCTAACCCGGCGGAGACATTTAATCTGACATCAGCACAGCCCGGTGAGATTTACCCGTCGTTGATTGGGGATCTTCACCAAGCGGAGGATTGAGAAGGAATCCACCCACCTCGGGAGATCCCAACGTGCAAATCAGCTCTACTCCCTGGCCTGAGCCGCCCAGCTGGAGACAAGGTATAGGAAAGTGATGGGAGACCATTGCGCCACGGGTTTTAGTGCAGTGCAAGTAGGATTTCCGTCCATTATCGTGTAGGTAGAGTGTGCCATGATCATTGGCGTTATGCCTAGAGCATCGGTAAAGCTTTGTCCAAATGGCATCCAATAAATGACCAAGTCCCAAAGTGGATCCAAGCTAGCTTGACGTTTGCCATGTTCGGCATACTTGCTGTTTCTCAGTACCTATGTTGCAACAGTTGGAGAGAGCAGATTCTGCCAAACTCGGTGTAGACACTCCATAGACGACTGATGAAGCCAGGCCCTTCACGACATTGGTAAAACACTCGTCGACTTCAGGTCGGGCAGTGGACAAAATCAGAAGCATTTGGGGAATGCTTTCCTCTTTCGACGTTATGACGAGAACTCTTTAGGGAGGCTTGCAGTCAGCCGGTTGCAGCTTGGGCTGGCTGAGGTGGTAAAACTCTTGTCAGTTGCACGTAATTACTTTAGCACCACCGAAGTAGAACCCAGTATTTGGAAAAAGTCATTGGCATTGATTTTCTAAGTCCGGTTGACTGAAATGGCTACAGCATCTATATCTGGCACCAAGAAACCAACGCGGAAATTATCCCGAGCAAGGCGGATGTTGGCCCGAACTGACCAAAGCCCGACAAAGTGGTTCCCGCCGATAGATCCACATTCGACTGTTGGTTGGTTGTGACTCACAATTTGGGGTGTTAATGCACGGTTGGGGAAGTCTCTCTTAACTAACTATGAACTCCGTACCTGTGTTGACGGAGAGGGGTCCGCCCCAGCCATATTCATCGCAGCATTTTGCTCCTCTCATTTACATGTCAGAGGTAGTTCTAAAACGCAGACTCCAAGCCAATTGAAAGCTATGGCATCTGCTATCATGGATCACCCCGTGGTGGGCTTGTTGAAGTCGCTCATGTCAATCGTGAGCACCAGCGAACTTGAGGAAAGCATTGGTGTCTTCCTAGAACATCATCTTCATTCGCTAGGATACACTGTCGAGCGAATACCCATTTCACCAGAATCGTCTCGCCATAATGTCTACGCATACCTTGGCTCTTCGCGCAAGACACGGGTACTTCTCACAGCCCATATGGACACTGTACCACCGCATATTCCGCTAACGATCGACGGGGATATCATCCGGGGAAGAGGCTCGTCCGACGACCTTGGCCCGTTGGCAGCCCAGATCTTAGCTGCAGAAGAACTGAAAAAGGAAGCCAAGATACAGGAGGAAGGAGATATTGCCTTGTTGTTTGTTGTCGGTGAAGAAAACGGCGGTCACGGAATGATCGCTGCGAATGACATGGGCTTAAAGTGGGAATCTGGCATCTTTGCTGAACCGACTGAGAGCAAACTTGCAAAGGGTCACAAGGGGCAGGTGGCGTTTGAGGTGATCGCCAACGGCGTCGCTTGGTAAGTCAACCCTTCTCAACCGCGAAGAGATTGAATTCATCCAAAAGCTCTACTAAAGCCAAGATGTAGTCACTCAGGATACCCCCATCTCGGCAAAAGCGCAACTTCTGCATTGCTGGCGGTGTTGAATGACCTCTCCGCAGCAACTTGGCCCGAATCCGACCTCCTCGGCCCTTCCACCTTCAACATCGGAACTATCGAGGGAGGCGAGAAACACAACATCGTCGCCCCGTCAGCCAAGGCACTATGCGAGGTTCGCATGGTTTCCGACCTACCCGGCATCAAGACCAAGGTTGCCGAGATCGTTTCACGACACCCAGACGTGGAGTTGAAGTTTGTTTTTGAGTACCCCGAAGCGCTACTGCAGTGGGAGATTGACGGCTTTGATGCGGCTCCCGTGGCTTTCGGGACTGACGTACCTCGACTCAAGGCGGAGTACTGCGACAACAGGGTGCTGTACGGTCCAGGGTCCATCCTGGTAGCTCACGGGCCCGACAAGTTCATCCATGTGCCAAAGTTAATTGAAAGCATAGAGAGGTACAAAAAGTTAGTGCTTCACTTTCTCAAGTAGGAAAATTCAAGGCAGAAACATTACTCCTGAGGCGTGTGGGGTAACGTGAGACAATGTTGTCGGTTGACTGTGGAACACAGGGGGAGAGGTTTGATACTCGCGATGTGCTCGTATTGACAGCCGAGTGGGATGTGACCGGGGTGTTCGTCTCAACTGTACCCTGACATCGTCTCATCTCGACCAAAAGAATTGATCGCTCCTTTTAAGCTTGAATTGCCTAAAGTCACATTAAAAGCGCGAGGGGCCTTTCATCTTTGGAATATTGTGTCGTCACTTCCTGCAAGCGGGCTTTTCATTTCACAAACAAAAACATTTCATCGCTCCTGGCTGGCCAGATCTAAGCATACCAGCACCTTACATCACAACACACTCATTCAATTTAGTAATTCTTGCAGCTCTCCAAGCACCACCTTCAAGATGAAGTTCTCCCTTATCATCGTTGCTCTCAGCAGCTTCATGGCATCCGCCATTGCTGCACCGGCCAAAAGTGTTCCGGCCAAGGATAATAGCGGAGGCAGAGTCGTACTTGATGGTGCTCAGTGCAGTCCCGTTCAGGGACGTCTAGTATGTGATGATGGTTTCGGCAACACATTGTAAGAACATCGACCCACTAGACGAGAAGTGCCTTTGAACTTTCCTCTAACCAACTTATTTCCATCAGCTTCGCGGACGACCCTTTCTCGTCATAGTGCACAATAACCAGGCAGCAAACATGTTTTCCAACGGGCACTCATTACCTGCAATCCCACGGACACGCTCTTCACGCGCCGATTTGGGATACTGAATTCCTAGCTTCCCCGCAAGATGAGCTCATGGTGTGGTAGCGCCAACAATTAGTGCCACGGCAGTGGTGGTTAGCGACTAAATACAGGCAATTAAGCGAGTGTCCGCATGCGAACTCTGAAGAATTGCGAGTCGAGGAATGAGAAAATTGACCACTCACGCTGAATTTTGGCGCTTTGCAATCCTCAAGGTGATGTGAATAGACGTGGATGCATGCGTCATGGATCCAATGGGTCACGAAGTCTCCGAGGTGAGGGAGTGCATATAAGCAATAGTCATTTTGATTTACTGCCCCAAAACGCGTTGTGCCCCGTGAGCTCTCACTTGAGAACAGCAGCAGGTCTAGTTCAAGCTTTCAGCAGCCATGATTTCTCTCAAGTTGACATTGGTCGCAACTCTGGCTAGTCTTTTTTCAGCGAGAGCGCAGAACCTCATCTTTGATTCAGGACGAAGTGGTCCGTCCCTCGAAGTCGTTCATCTGTACAACGACCAGTGGCCCACGGGTAATGTCACAAAGTCAAGAAAACTCGCGCATTACGCTAATATACTTGAATAGGCGTTGCCGTATCGTCAACTGGACGGAGATTTTCAAATTACCCCGGTGGTCTGGACCCAAATAACACAAATGATGGTACCAACGGCAAGTACACGGTTGCCGAACTCTTTGAACACAATATCGAGAAGCCGTACCCAAGTGCTGAGTTCAACAATCCACCTGGCGGCGCAATCAACTTCACCACTACTCCTCCAACGGGCGCGAACTACAAGAACTACCTGATTGGGGTTCAAAGCGTGGTCATTGACAGTGCGGATCGCCTTTGGATTTTAGATACTGGCAGGGTCTTGACACCTCAGGGCGTTCTCGTCCCTGCCAGCGTCGGTGGCGCAAAGCTAGTCGGCGTCAATCTGACCACAAATTCGGTCATCAAAACTATTGTCTTTCCCAATACTGTCGCCTACCCGGATACATACCTGAACGACGTGCGATTTGACCTGGATCCTAGTCTAACCAGCAGCGGGGAAGGTGTTGCTTACATCACGGACTCTTCGAGCGAGGGCCGGACAGGCTTGATCGTTGTCGATCTCGGATCTGGTGAATCCTGGAGGCACCTTGACGGAAGTCCTTACGTGCAAGGCGACCGACAGTTTCTCGCATTTGTCTGGGGCCGTGAGCTCTACGCGAACCAGGCAGGCAATCGAGCCGGTCATTTGACCTTTGGTGCTGATGGAATCGCTCTCGGCAAAGATGGCAAGACGTTGTACTTTGGTGGCGTTGGCAACCGATACCTGTACAGTATCCCCACGGAACGTCTACGAGACAATGGTCCAACATCAGAGATACGAGCTCAAGCAGCAGTTGTGACGGAGAGTCAGAGGGGTCTTTCTGACGGTTTTGAGACGGACACGAATGGATTCATTTACCACGGGAATTTCGAGCAAAACGCAATCAACTTCTTCAACCCCGAGAATGGGACTGATCAGGTATTTTTGCGAGATCCGAGAATCAACTGGGCCGACACGGTAAGCTCCAGCTGTTTCTAAATTCCATCATGGACATATTTGGTTGACTGAGGCGGAATTCAAGTTCTCTGTTGCCACAGATGGCTATATCTACTTCACAAACAATCAGCTGGCATTCGGCCCGGCGGTCTATCCCGGGACAGACACAAGACAGCGTCCTTTTGGGTTGCTGAGGGCTAAACTTCCGAATAATGGCACCAAGGTTGGGTCTAAGATGTACCTTACCGGGGGCATATGAGGGAATATATTGATTGAGAATATTAATATGGTTGCGCGACCTTATACTACTACTATAGAATAAGATACTATTACTTATTCTGTAGTAGTAGTAATATATACGATAGTTATGTGTGTGCTAATGGTTGTTTAAGAGTAGTTGAGAGTTTTAGGAGTTGTAGGTGGGGTATTGGGGGACTGTGCTGGGGGGTAATTCTAGGGCTCGGGGTGTACGGATATTAATATATTTAGATAAATATATTAATATACTATTGCTTATATATATTATGATATTGTTATAGATGCGCGGATATTGTGGCTACTTATGCCTCTAGGTAAAATCCCTAAAGTTAAACTTTTAAGTCCTGAGTTTATTAGACGCTACTACTATTACTATTATTATAAAGTTAGACCCCTAATTTTAATACTATATCCCTATTGAGTTTGGAGAAATAGTTTAGTGGGCGAGATAATATAAATATATAGTCTATGTACGGACTTATTAGTATAAAAAAATAAAGCCGCTCGTAATAGTTAACTTACTTTGTTATTTAGAAATCGTGGTGTTAAGGTGCTATTACTATTATTACTACTCGTAAAGTTCTTTAGTATTAGGCGGGTGAGCTATTTAGCCTCTCGCGGTTATAAGTATTGGAAGTAAATAGTTTTATTTATTTAATATTCTCGGATATATAAGGTAGGCGAGGGTATAATGCCGATGCCGATGCTTATGATATGGATGTATTAGTGTATGGTCGGACTTATAGTAGTGGGGATGTATTTATATAGTATTAAGTATATTATAGCTACTTAACTTGTTACTTAACTTAGATATTGTAATTACGGATCTTAACGAAGTATAGCTTTTTAGGCTAGATGATATTGATGCTAATGATAGTAGGTTAATTTTTAAGGTAGCGTACTTTGTATAAGTTAAGTATATAGTCCTTTTTATTTAAGATCTTTATTAGCGTAATAATAATGAAGATGCGGTGTAAATTATGTATTTTATAAACAAAGATGTGATTGATATGGCTTATTGTGGACTGGTTGTTATTTATATACTTAATGTGGTCGCTGCGAGCGAAGATATACTAATGGAAATTATTAAAGTAGAAGAATGTTAGTAATTTTTTTTATTATAGGTAGGTAATATGAAGTTATTGCGAATATTGTTTATATAGTTGACGAGGGATAGGGCGGCGATGCTATAGTAATAGCGGATATTTTGCGAATTTATAAAAGACTTGGGGGTATATTGAGAGTACTTTAAAAACTTTTTAAAAACCTTAATATTATAATAAAAGTGATTTAAAATTAGGGCCTGTATTATAGTAATAATTTTTTTAGATTTTGTACTTTATGTATTTCGATAGTGCGTAGATATGCGGTGTTTAAAGTTTTTTTTTTTAGTTAAGGGTAATACTACGAAATGATATTTAATGTTTAATTAATGAAATTATTTGAATTTATTAATTAAGAGATGGAAAGGTTATTTTAGGCCCCTTAGCGGATGTTAGTAACCCCTCTCTGGGCCTTAAATATTATTAGCCTTATTTTGCGGGCCTTGCCGGGGCCCTTAAGATGCTTCGAATTACTGGGTATAAGACTTAATTAAGTAAATAAGTAAATAAGTAAATATTAGTTAGTACTTACCTGTTTATAAAGTTGAAGCGGTTTAATTATTAGATAGTTTTATATCCGAAGTTCTAGATTTTATTATATCCGTAGTAGTATACGTAGGCTGAGCGTAGGGCTCACTTAAAAGTTTATAATATGTTCGTATTTTTAGTAGGTAGAAGCTCGCTTTTGTTAATTAGGTACTATGCTTTATTAATTTGATTAATAATAGTGGGATTATAGTACTCCCTATTTTTTTTAATAATACCCGCTAGCTCTTTTTTTTTAGTAAGATCTTTTTATAAGTATATTATATTTTTTTTATTAGTACGAGGTAGTACCCTATTAAATAATATCGGAGCCTTATCATAGAGCTAGTATATTTAATAAGTGAGCTTATTATTATTATAGTAAAAGGTATTACGAAGAAAGAAGCGCTACGTTATTTATATATTAACTTTTAATAATAGGATTTTTTTGATATTAGTATAGTTCGTTTAGGTTATTATTATTTTGAACTATTTATACAACTATTAATAATAGATATATTATAAGGTAATAGACGTTAAGGGATATTACTATACCCCTTATTTACTTATGCTTATTTTTATTTAATAATATGTTTATATTTATAGGTATTTTAAACTCCTTAGCAATAGCTTTGTAATAGATACTTATATAAATATTTAGCCGTACTATATTTAATATATACTTTTTAGCTCTTTTGTTAAGCGATATAGGTCTTTACTTAGGCTTAGGCTTAGGCTTATTTTTTATTATAGGGATAGGCAGCGGCTAGGTTAACTGTCGTTTTATATACTAAGAGATATTACGTAAGACGGGCTTAGTAAATGGCTATGTATATTCTGATCCTAACCTAACTTATAGTTAATAGAAGGGCTATTGTAGCGGTATTATTAAGCCCTAGCGATTACTATTAGTAGTACTTTACGCTCGGGGGTTATTAATAATAGCCTAGTTAGTGATTTAATAGAGTTATTAATATATTTTGCGAGCTTTAATAACGATACTTATTATATTCTTGTAATTAGCTTTATTAATATTGGTATTAACTAGGATACTATTTAACTTAGTTAATTTTGTATAAGCTATTATAATAAAGTTAACGATATTATTATTAATAATATTACTAAGCTAGTTTTATATAGTATTTATGAATTTAGGGTAGATATAATGCGGGATTAGAAAGTTATAAAATAAGCCCGGAGTAATGACTAATTAATAAGTATTTATTATTAAGGAATAATTACGAAAATAATAAAGTAGTAATTATAGGTACTCTTAACTTAGTAAAAAGGGCTAAATACGTAATATATAAGTATATTCTTTATATTTTTATATAGTAAGGATATTATTAAGTAATATATTATATATTAGTTTAGCAAGGCTTTAATATTCGGAGTAGGTAAGATCTAGAGGGTATAAAAAGATTAAGTTTAATATAGGGGTAATAGACGCTAGCGTAAGTGTCTTTTTTATAATACCTTATATTTTTTTATATTACTTACGAGAGGCTACTATTATAAAATTATTTATATCTTCGTATATAATTATATATTAATAATAATAGTGCTCGTAGGTAATTATATTAAAATTTAGTACTGACTCCGGGTTATTACTATTTTTTTATAAATTGTTAACGAAATAGAAGTAGTAAAACTTATTTGTTTGAGTATTTTAGAATTTACTATTCTTATCTTACTATAATATGTTCTTAATATAGTAAAGAATTGGTGCGATTATAATATAGTACTTACTATTAATATATAACTTAATATTATAGTCGAGCTTAGCTAGGGACTGGAATGTTTTAATAGTATTGTTAAAGTTCGAACTATGTGGACTAAGTGTAAGAGGGAAGATGTTAGCCTAATAGAGTCGATTTTTTATTTAGAGCTTAGTAATTATTATATATATATTTATAAGGGTACGATATAAGTTATAATATATACTAAAGCTATTAATAAAATATATAATTAGATAGTTATAGACTTTTATATCGAACTTATCCTAATTTTTAAATATTTTTTAATTATATATCTTAAGCTCTAATTTTGTATGGATAGGGTGCGTATATACTAAGAGAATTAGATTTTTAGATATATGGCGCTATACTTATTAAATAATGAGTTTATAATTATTTAGTATTAGGTATTTAATAAACTTTTTAAACTTCTGTTTTTATTCGGTATTAAGGCTTAGATTAGTTATGGTCTCGCTAGAGAAGTAGTCGTATATTATATTATTATTAATTATATTAACTATGCTCTCCTTAGGGATAAAGGTAACCTCGTTTATAATAATTATTTTATTATTGTTTTAGGTATAACTTTTATTATTATAGAAGGGATGCTTTGGGATTATTTTTAGGTATTGATTATTAATATAGAAAAAGATTTTTTAGATTTAAATTGCGATATTATCCTTTTTAGTAGTATAGAAGTCTTTTTGATAATTATAGTTAATGGTATAGACGTAACTATAGTGTAGTTTTTTTTTATTTAGTTAGTTAGCTTTTTAATAAATATAAAAGGGGTCGAGGTATTAGTATATAACGAAGTTTAATAATAAAATTATATTAGTTTTTTTATTTTCGTTATTAATAATATGTGCGAACTCGCTAGATATAGTACGCGTTAATAATGCTTAGCTATATAATTCGAAAAGCTTAATAAGTATATTAATAAAATATACTAATTTTCAATATATATTATTAGCTACGTTAAATAATAAGAAGTTAGTAAATATTACTTAAGGGTTAATAATAAATAAGTTTAATATAATACCCCTTTTTATAATTTTCTATTTATTTAACTTATAGGATACTCGTACTGTAGAGAGCTTTTTAAGTATTAGTAGTACTTCTACTTTTTATATAGGGATTAAGGGGAATTTTTAAGAAATACGGTTTTTTAAAGATATTAGTTATATAGGGAGCTTTTTAATAGCTTATTTAGTAGTTCTTTTAATACTAAGAAAAATAGAGAGAAGTTAATAGAGGGTAGTATATTTTATATAATTATTATTAAAGGTATAAAAGAAAAGGCTAAGCCCGAGCTTAAAGTTTAATAGCTAGATAAATTTGTTTTAGTAATAAGGGATTAATTCTAAGATATTATTATTAAGTTTTTAAAACTTTTATATTATACGCTTTTTTAGAAGCGGGCTAGTGTAAATAGTAATATAGTCTTTTATAAGAGGGAAAGTATTATTTTTATCATCGGTTTTATTAAAAAGCTAGGTTTTTAGGCTATTAATATTATTTTTAAGGATATAATTATTATATACCTTAGTAGCGTTAGTTTTTTTTTTATTAAATTTAGTTAGTAAATTACCGTTAGCCTTAGTTTTATTAACTTTATTAGGGTCGATATTATTAAG